CCCGGATCTCTTACTTTTGCTAACCTGTCAACTGTCTGCTTGTCGACACTGAATTTAAGGTGGCGGGCCAACCTCTTGCTCTTGTTTTTGGTCTACTCACCTCTCACTTATCACGTCAGGCGAGTGTGCGCAGGGATTGCCACCCCGGAGTCGTTGCGTTACGACATTTTTTATCGATCGAGGTGCAAACGCCATCACATGTTTGTGGTCATAAGGTGCAGCATGCCTTTCCGTGGGTCCTGACGTTTTTTTCAGTCCTTGAGACTGCACTTCCAGCGTGATTGATAGAACAGCAAAAAGCCATGGTAGACCTGCCTCATCCAGAGGTTAAAAACTATCGAGTTATTCAGGCGTTTGAGTTATTTCTGTCGTTATTTTTTGTAGCAGGTTATGTGCCTCCGGTGACACATTAATTGTGAGAGTCAGTAAAATGACAACGGAGAAGAAAACCACTTTGGTTGGGCAGGAGGTCAAGTGCGTAATCTTGGGCGTCTTTTCTACTGTAAAGCCACTCATTTTCGCCTATTTTCGTTGGGTTTTCACGATAAACTTTCCAAGAGCCTACTTTAGTCCCACGTTCGGACAGTTGGGAAAATTTATTTCTGCTTTTTGAATTACCGCGCAGTAAGATGTGCACAGATTCTTCTAAAATCTAAAATTTTTAAGGCTTAAATGCATGATAGTAATGCAATCTTGAGTAAACAATTTTGCAGAATCCATGGCCTCTAACTGATGACTCCCAAAACCCTTTGTCAGCACATAACAGGTCGATAAGAGGAGGGCGAGCAAGAGAGGAGTGCGAGGGTGGTATGACGGAGTGGGAGATCGAGGGAGAAAAGGGGGCGGGAGGGAACGAAGGAGGAGGGGGAGGGAGGAGCAGACTATGCACTTTCCCTTATTTCCGTGTCATCGAAATTGCTGGCCGAAATACGCCTCACCGAAGTCTCAGCGCGCTAATCCTGTTTGGCTGTTTCCGCAGCGATTCGGACCCTGTGTACTTCGATCTCCTGGCTCTTCTCAAGTGTGCAATAAATCGGTTTGAAGATCGACTACACATCGACAGCCCGTTATGTTTGTTCTTCCGGAGGTCACTTCG